GACCGCATGCGCAGGCAGCCATGTCTCGAGCCCATTCGGGCGTGCATTTTGTTTATCTAGTAACTCGTTGTCTCAAATCGAAGCCTACATCGAGACTAATTCTTTCTTCTTCTTCTTCTTTTAATAATTAATTGTATATATTTCAACTAATCTTGTATATTTTAAAATTAATAATTATAAATTTTTTTAGCAATCCTAAAAACCCATAAACTTAAATCCATAATTATTAAAGAATAAATTCAAAATCTAACTAGTTGAATTATTCTTTAAAATTACTTCAAGTTTATTTCTAATCTACATCAAGAATAAAATTCTTTAAATTTAATTAAAACTAAATAAACGTTAATTTGATAATTTCAAATTTTCAAATTGTTTTAACTTCTATCCAAAACAATATTTTTTTTTAGATTTTTTTTTCAAAAAGTTATTAAATAATATTATATTATTTTAAAAAAAAAATCTAAAACACCTAACCAATCTTTAACTCCAGACTTGAGGTAAGTATGGTTTTCTGGGCTACGCTCTGGGTCGGCAAAATAGCATTGAGACAGAGAATGTGTCAGGCAAATCATCACTCAGTTCACATGAGAACGCAGCTCCCTCAACAGATGAACCCATATAGTTCAACTGTGTCCCATTATCCGCCCACTTCTAGGTCATGTATGTGTCCCAAAATAAATAAATAAAATGTTCAAAGTAGTTTTTTTTTTTTGTTCAATTAGGAAATTAAGCTTTTGGACTTTTGTTTTTAATAGATGTGTTCAATAAATTATTTAATTTTTTTTACAAGCTATTAATTCACAAAGATGAGGCTCAAGATGGAGACCCATCTTAATACTCGTTTGGGTTCAGCAATTTACTTTTTTTAATAAAAAAAATATTTTTTTAATTATTTTTCTCAATATTTTTGGATTAATATACTAATATTAAAAATAATTTTTTTTAAAAATATTTTTTAAAATATTTCTTCATAAAAATACACTTTCAAATCCCATCTCAATCATGCAAGAAAGTGTATCGCTGCACTAGAGTCTTGGCTTGATGGTGAGAAGGGCTTGTCTTCTTTCACTACTTCTGGATTCAAGTTTTTATGTGCACGTCTATCATCCTCGCGATGTCTTATATACCCACTGGATTTGTAGGGTGTTCAGTAAGCCATGAGATTAGTCGTGGCACATACAAACTGATCCAAATACCCACATAAATAAAAAAAAATATACCACTGAATAAACAAGCTTGTTGATTAATAAACCTAATATTACAAACCCATAGTTTTATTTGAATAATATATGATAAAAGTAAAATTTGAAGCTTCCGGATCCTAAAGACAATAGTTGACAGAATCACAAGCCACACAGCTACAACTCATTCAACCAACCAAATGTACTGTTTTTCTCCTGACTTGGCATTGGCGTTTGGCTTCTTTCCTGTGTGCTTGGAAAGACATAGCAAGCAATGGTCACTGCTTGAGAAATTTGGCTTCTTTCCTGGGTGGTTGGAAATGAGACATAGCAAGCAATGGTCACTGCTGCCTCATAAGAAAATGCAGAGGGCAACTACCTGATATGACACTGATTATACCGAATACTTGACAACCTGTTTTACCATCACCATACTTGCTAAATTGACAGTAACGTTTGTAATTTACGATGGTGTTGGCATTGATATCTCTCTGGGTCTTTGTACTCATCGATATCTATATAACATAAGAAATCTATGTAAACCTGAAACCTGAAAATGATTTATGTGAACATCAAATCTGAAAAGGAAATATTCCACATGACCGGACAATAGAAAAGACCTGTTCTTGTGAATATCACCTGCAGAAATATTAACTGCGGAAATTCCAAAAAGCATTAACCAGTTTATCTTGGCATCCTTGTTGAAGATAGTGGTGTCCTTTGAAACCTTCACTGTACAAGCAAGATATCTTTGAACGTTGTTTGAATGAGTGCAGCCTGTATTACTGCCACAAGTATATGCACTAGTACTAGCTTTAGCCTGTTCGCGCCTCTCATTCTTAACCACACATTCAATTTCAATCCCAACAACTGATGTATGTTTTCCATCTGCTATGAGAGTGAGCTGCCAGGCAATCTGAAAGATCAAAGGAGCGTTTATCTGTTAAAAAGGTCACTCCACAGCGATTTAAGCCTGAAATATTTGTGTAGTTGTATATGCTTGAAACTTAAATATCAAGAAGCTCTAGGCAACTGGGAATTGAGGTCCGACAGCATATCCAGAATGACCAAGGATTCTTATCTGACGTGTTCACATTTTCAGTGCAAATAAGAGACAGGCAGCAACCAACTGTCACCTCAGCTTCTGTCTCCATGACCTCAGTATCACAACCAATAGCTGTCAACATGTTTCTGAAGTTTGAGAACATGAAAGGGCCCGATCCAAGTGCGATAGACTGTAAAAAAAAGGCATCCCCGATTTGTCATAGCAGTCATATGCCATATCAATGCCTACAGTTACTGTGCCCTCCTACACATATACATCGCAAGCAGGCATGTTACGTCCAAACCAAAGTTCAGCATCACCATCATTTGAACTGCAATCTAGAAAGAAATGCTCCTTCATGGATCAGTCAGGTTTCTCGAACACAGAGGGATATGGAACACTAACATTCACACATTTTCCTTGGCAACCAGGTTTCACTTCTTGGCTTGAAGTTGCTGTTGTCATTAGCCACAATAATAGCAGCATCATTAGCCAAGCCACCCACATCTAGAGAATCAGTTTTTCATTCACGTCCAATGTCAATTAACCTACTGTAAGCTAAAGAAAAAATGAATAAATACATATAAATATATAAAAAGAGAAAAGCTCTAAACCACCTCTCACAATTTGTGCAACTTGATTTCTTTTAGAAATACTCAAAACGTTGAAACATGACAGATTCAGAGCAGACTCGGTTGATGAAAACTTCACAATATACAGCAAAATTTGTTAAACATCTTCTTTCACTAGCTAGCTATTTATAAAACAAAGAAATTCAACCATCTTATGATAGCAGACTGTACAATTAAACAAATAGAAGTAACCGAACGCAACAAGATAAACACACTATAAGAGGTAAAGTTGATTATTTCTAATCCTTCCATACATATGTATAATCCTCAAAAAAAAAAATTCAACTATTAAACGAAATGAAATTGAATTCGGTCCATAACAGCATTCAACACAATATGCACAAAAACATTAACAACAGGCGTTGCAAGATCAAAGTTTCTCCCTTCTTTTGGCAAATTTATTAATTCAAAAGGCAAAATACAAGCACATTACAAAGTACAAGAAAAAAAGTGACAATAATCAAAACCCAACAATGGGAAATCTAAAGAACCTGCCTATCAGCAGCCTCAGCAACAATGGGCAACCTAGGAATCTGACCAAACAAACAAGAAGTAGACCCATAAATCAAACAAACCAAAAGGTACAAAAACACAGTACTGTCCAAACTCATCAACAAATCCAATCCCAACCCATCTTTTGGATTAAAACTCCTCTCTAACAAATCAGGAAATATCAACAACACATCGAGCACTATAGCTTGCATGGTATTGAACCTCACATATCTGCTAAAATTGGAGTTTCTCACAACGACAAAGTAAAGAGTCAAAAACACCAAAAACCCATTTAAGGGAAAGCTCTTAAAGACTTTAATAGCTGGGAACAGAGGCTGGATGAGAGCTTGAATTGGAGAAAACTGGTTTATGACGTATTTTCCGTACTGGATTCCGTCAAAGAATGGGTAGAAGTAACAGACGGCGGAGATTATCCTGTCTGTTGTGTCTGCTGAATCGTTACCGTTGGATTTGGCTAAAATTAGTCTTCTGGGCCCTTTCCATTTTCTTGTGTGAGGCAAAAAAGATGGGTTTCTGAGGGAGAGAAGGAAGGGTTTTTGGGAGAGGGTAAGAGGGGCTTGTGGAAAGAGAAGAGTGGACATGGTTTTGCTCCTCCCTTTCCTTTTTTCCCAGCGAGAGGTAGAAGAAGCTAAAATTGTTGGAGATAAGTTTTTCTAATATCCAATAAAAAGAAAATAAAATGAGATTAAACCCAGATCTTTTTTTCTTAAAAAATTAAGGATGATTTTATAGTTAACGATGTTGTCCTCGCTGTTCTTATCCTGTTTCAAACTACTGATTTTTACTTCTTCTTCTTTCTTTCTTTTTTTCCCTAATGACGAGTCAAATTTGGGTAACTAATCAAGGCGCCTCGCAATAATGCATAAAGTTATTAAACCCCGATTATGATTTATCGGGTTGAATTCTATGTACTATTTTGATATGTGTTATATTTTTAAAGAGTTTTTTTATTTAAAAATATATTAAATAATTTTTTTAAAAAAATTATTTTCAACCAGTATATCAAACTAATTTAAATAATAATTTAAAATAAAAAATTTAATTTAAAAAAATATAAAATCATGTTTTAATTGTATTAAAAGTTGATTAATCGATTCAGTCAAATTTAATTGAAATAATTTTTAATTAATTTAATTTAAAACCAGTTTAAATCAAATTTCAATTAAATCAAATTTTATTTAACCATGTTTTAATAATTGATGATAATACTTTTGTTTTGTGAACTTTTAATTTAATCCAGCTCAATGGTAGACTTTTGTTTTGTTAGGCCATGGGGTTATTTTGTACGAGAATTTATAATAAATGATTTTGATGTAGAAAATTAAGAATATATTAGGTATGATTTTGTGTTTTGGGTCAAAATAATGCAAGGTTTGATTTAAAAAAAAAAGTTAATTTATTAGAAAGTAAAAAAGAAAACTACTTGAGGAACATGTATTACTTGGTGTTCTGTTTATATAAATTAAATATGTTAACAGTGGTCATCATATGAGCAACCAAGTACACGAACCTGAGACCACAGAGGGAACAAACATTTTGATCCCAAGTTCTTGCCACTTGACCACCACCTAGATGGTTCAATAATAGACTTTTGTTTTGTTAGGCCATGAGGTTATTTTGTACGAGAATTTATAATAAATGATTTTGATGTAGAAAATTAAGAATATATTAGGTATGATTTTGTGTTTTGGGTCAAAATAATGCAAGGTTTGATTTAAAAAAAAAAGTTAATTTATTAGAAAGTAAAAAAGAAAACTACTTGAGGAACATGTATTACTTGGTGTTCTGTTTATATAAATTAAATATGTTAACATTAATATAATTTTTTTATATTATTTATTTATTAAAATCGTATAAATAAATGTAATTATGTGATTGGACGGACCTAAATGGACGAAACACTCAATGATTTTTATAAGTTATTTTCGGAGTAGAAGATATTTTTTTGGACACTGATAATTGGATGAGATGGATAGGTCGACGTGTTTGATCTGCCTACACCGGACACGGGCGGGTTAGTCGTCAAGCAGTCTTGGCCCGCCAATGTGGACTCATAGGCACGAGCCATTGCACAGGCCAGACATGTCTTGGCCCAATTTCTGAGAAGCACTTCTCTCCCGTTTTATTTTTCGAATCTTATTTATTTATTAACTTATTTTTAAAATAACAAAACTACGAAATAATAATCACTCTCTTTATTTATTTATTTATTTATTTTGCAAACCCGCACATTTATTTGAATAATTTATGGCTCAAAGAGAGGTAATTAGGAAGCTAGTAAAGCGTCCATAAAGCTACGACGTATTCAAGGAAGCAAGAGCGTGCCTTCTTGCCTGTACAAACAGAGATGAAAATTTACTTGACATTATTGAGAGTTGAGACTGATTCATAAAGCGACCATGCTGACAAGACGATCGTTCCAGTTTTAAATACTATCAGAGAAGTTCTCAATCTCAAGTGGTATCACAGTCTGAGACTGTGTCATTGGACGACGTGCAATCTTGCCGAAAGATTGTGATGATTCGCCTAACAAGTATTCCGTCTCGTCGCTATTTTGCTGAGCCCATGATTTCTGATGAAGATCTTTCAGCTTAGCAAGCTCATCTGACACTTCCTTCATGGTTGGCCGGTTTAATCCCATGCTATTCAGACATCCTTTTGCAAGCTCAGCTACAGCTTCTATCTCATCCATTTCGCCTTCATCAGCTGCCTGGAAATCCAAAATTCTGAAAAGATTATCTGTTTCCAGTGCTGAGATAAAGTGTTGAATCAGGTTCCGTTTCTCTCCAGAACTGGAACTGGAGTTTGGCTTTTCTCCCGTGAGAAGCTCCACAAGAACTACCCCAAAGCTGAAGACATCGCTCCTTGCGGTTAAAATACCCGTCATGAGATACTCTGGATCCAGGTAGCCTAAAGTCCCTTGTATTTTTGTGGCTATAATGGTTTGGTCTGAAGAAATCAGCACTGAAGCTCCAAAATCTGCAACCTTTGCTGTGTAGTTGTTGTCTAAAAGTATGTTCACGGACTTGACATCTCCATGAATAATCGGAGGGTCTGCAAGAGAATGCAGGTAATTAAGCGCAAGGGCAATCTCTGATGCTATCCTCAGACGATTGCTCCAGGAAGCTAGTAACTGCGACGTTTTGTCATGTATGTGCTTGGAAAGAGTTCCATTTGAAATGAACTCATAAACTAACAATGGCACTTTGGTCTCCAAACACAGGCCCAAGAGCTTCACCACGTTCTTGTGATTGACCTGTGAGACAACGCCCATTTCCTTTTGAAATTCCTCATTCATCTGAGCCTTGTCTACCCCTTTAAACTTCTTGACTGCAACTTGGACATCATCTGCTGGAACTCCTCTGTAAACAGAACCAAAACCACCTTCTCCAAGTTTCTGATCATCATCATAATTTTTTGTCGCCTTTTCCAGCTCCGCCTCGCTGAAAATCCTTACTCGTTGGTGCTTTAAAACCATTCCCCCGTTCTCCCTGAAGTTTCTATCCTTTTTCCTTTTTTTGCACATCATGTACAGTAGAACACAAATGATCACAAGCAAAATGGCTGCTCCAATAGCTGCATACCAATGTCAAAGAAAAATGTTACTTTAAACACAAATCAAGAGATTTCTTTTCTAGCCTTTTTCCGAGTGATATATGGCCATTAGTATCATCATAACAGCATCTAAATCGGATTTTTTTTACTGTTCTCAGATTAAGTTTTTTTGCACACCAAGACTTAAGTCCCTTTTCCGATCCAGTTAAAGTCAAGCAATGCAAGTTGAGATTATGAGATTCTTGAATATTCATTATATATGCTAGTCTTTTTAATCATATACTTATTGAAAATCATCAAAAGAAGAAGAACCATACATGCATAGATATAAATGCCTGTTCTTATTGTTAATTGCCTATAAAGCTGAAGTTCGGGAATTATAGACTCGGCCAGTAATGGCTACGATGCTCTTCATAACGGAGAAACTCATTATAACAAGATTAATTCCCAGGTCACTTACGTACCTGCAATTAATGTGATGATACCAAGTCCTTGACAACCTTTTTTACCATCACCATACATACCAAGTGGACATCGACACTTGTAATTCCCAATGGTGTTCTTGCATCTACCATGACATGGATATCTTTCTGGATCCTTGCACTCATCGACATCTAAATGTTAAAAAAGTAGTGAGTAAAATCTGATTAATTATAAATTAGAAAAATAAATTATATAAAAAATAAATCATGCCAATTAAATGGATATGATTAGGCAATGAAAGATTTTCATGTATATTAGCCAATTGGTCTAGCATAAAACTCAGGTAGTGCTTAAGTTGAAATGTTTATAAAAAACATTAATCATGAGATGGAAATTTTAAGCAAGCTCAAATTTCTGGCTAGGCCACAGGATTTTTTTATTATTATTACATATGACGAGAGACAAACAGGGAAAGAACATAACCTGAAAAAGCATATATAAAAAGTACTAATATTGGAAAACATACCAAAAATCAATAACCAGTTTACCTTGGCATCCTTCTTGGAGATAGGGATTTCCTTCGAACCCTTCATTGCATAAGCAACGATATCCTTGACCACTCTCAGGGTAGGTGCAATTTGCATTAGCGCCACAAGCATATGCACTTGCATTAGCTTTAGCCTGTTCGCACGTCTCATTTTTAACTGCCCATTCAATAACAATATCTGTTCTATATGCATCTTTTCCATATTTTGGCTTGCGAGAGAGCGGCCAATCTGAAATCTTCAAGGAGTTCTTGTCCACTAAAAAAGCAAATCCACAGAGATTGAAGTCCGAAACGTTCGTGTAGTTGTAAAAACTAAATAATGAAATATCAAGTGATTTGAGGCCCTTAGGGATTGAGCTCTGGCAGCATCCAGAACCTGAGCAAGGATTTCCATCGGACATGTTAACATATTCTGTGCACAAGGAGAGACAGGCGGCTCCATATGTCAACTCATAGTTGGTCACCTGGGCAAAGGTATCGCAACCAATAGCTGTGAATATATTTCGGAGGTGTGAGAACATGAAGGGGCCTGATCCAAGGGTCATAGACTGTCGGAAAGATTCTGTCTGCATCCCTGCTTTGTTATAGCATTTGAATGCTGCATCAATGCCTAGAGTTACTGTGCCCTCCAGCTGTGATATATTGTGAACAGGCATGTTTCTTCCAAACCACAGTTCAGGATGACCTTCATCGTTAGAACTGCAGTTTAGAAAGAAGTGCTTATTCATGGCACAGCTTCGTTCGCCAATCCCAAAGGGGTAAGGAACACTAACATTCCCACACTTGTCTTGGCAGTCAGGTTTTACATCTGGCCTTGCTGCCTCCACCGGCCACAACAATAGCAACATCATCAGCCAAGACACCCACATGATCATCTGCAGGATCATTTTTTTATGCACTACCCAACTTGTGTGACTTAAACAAACCATCTCCCTCTAATTTGTGTGAACTTCTTTCCTGGAAATTATATGCTATGGGAAACTACTAATTAAATCCATCACACCAAGAATGTAAATTCTAGAAAAAATAATAATAATAAACATAACAAATGGAGAACAGATTCGGTCGATCGATGGAGACTTAAACACCAAGAATGCAACAATTTTTCAACGTATTCTCTGTTTTTTTTTTATATTCTTTTCACAACTGTAACTGATCATAAAAAATGACTTATATATATATATATTGAAGTCCATCGTTTAGTTGCAGACAGCAATGTCTTAATCAAATAGCCAATTGCAATAGGAGAAAAAATGGAAAGCCTTTTTCTTGCTTCGCTTACATGCTTGAGTGGACTATTCCATGGAGGAATACTCCTAACCCATCAACATCAATCATCAAATAGTTAGTATTCCAAGATGTTATAGGGATGGAAACAATAAGAATGAATGAAGACAACTGAAACCATAACCCACTTGGTAGTAGAGACGGAGACAACATCTCTTTCTTTTTTGGGTCTCTGTCTCCAAAACAGTTTTCAAGCCAATTTCTATCCCTCCCTCCAAAAAGAATCGAGAAACAGGACATGTCCTAGAGAAAAACTAGTTATCTTTTTCTATAAAAAATAGCCCGGTAAACATGTCTGAAGAATAAGGCAAAACTTGGATGAGATTTGATTAAAACAGTCATAATTTTAGATCCAACCCAACGGATGGATCAAGTTCAAGTTAAAAAGTTTAGTTTTATCAGAGCTTAGCTGGCTATAACTATCGAGTTCTAAAAGATATTCAAACGAGACCTAGAAGGTGCTTCTTTTTTTTTCTCTATTTATTTTTTCTAGTTTTTATTCATGCTATGCACTGTGTGAGAAAGGCCGAGAGAAATAGTCTGTTATTCTCCCTGTTTTGTCATAGCAGTCGAATGCTGCATCCATGGCTACAGTGACGAACAGGCATGTTTCTCCCTAACAACAGTTCTCTCTCTCACTAAATTCTTCAACCTCTTTGCTTGTAGATGTATATAATTAAGACAGACCACCAACCAAGAACACATTACGAATATGACTATTTCCAAGACGACCGGGTCAATGGAGCCCTGAGAGTCCTTCCTTGCATCTTTCATTTTATATTTGTAGAAAATTCATAGTATGACAACAATCCAACATCTTAATGTCCAGTGGGTTAATGATGAAGGTCAAAGCTATCACATGCAAAGTCTATGGCTGCCACTGTATGTGGTTAGGTGGTGTTTAATATTATAATTATTATTATTTTTTAAAATAATTTTTATTAGAAAATATATTAAAATAATATTTTTTAAAAAACTTATTTTTAATATATATAAAAATAATTTAAAAACATCATAAAAATCTAATGTGAATTAAAAAAAATTAACAAAAACACAGCTAAGCCATATAGCCAAACTAGCTTCTAATATCTTTCCACAATTTTATATATATATTTTGTAATTTCTCAAGTGGAAGGTGAAGGGAGATGTTTAAGATATATATGTTTATTTCATAAGCAATTAAGTTTTTCACTTCATATTTTTTCATTAATTAATTAATTATTTGTTTATTTTGCCTGTCCATTTATTTGATGAATTATATGTAAATCAATCAATGTTATCAAAGAAAAAGTAAATGGCTAAGAGATGTTAATAGTTAATACGATTTTAATTTTCTAAATATATCGTAATAATAATATTAATAATGTATTCTTAAAATTGTTTTTTTATATATAAAAAAACTTAATCTTAAACAACATTGAAACTAATTAAAGATATAGCTTGATTGTTGAGTGAAAAATAAACATAATTAAACACCAAAATAAATGCCCCCTCTTGCATGTTCCAAAGCTATTAATGCATCCCAAAGGCCATGTACAAAAATAAATATTAAAATTGAATTAGTGATCTTAGCATCGCACTCATTCACATCTATTACGTCCATTGTTTTAAAGCTGTGCCATGGCTGATTCAGAGCATGGATCAGTTTGTAATGAAAAAAATAGAAAAAGAAAATGGTTGATTCAGTCAAAAATTCTTGTTGACTAGTGACAGACTTCACGTGTAGTAAAACTGGATTATTAATTTATAATTTTTTTAAAAAAATAAAATTATTGCTTTTAAATTTTTTTAAGTCAATTTTTTTGAATTGTAATGTGGACCTTATCTCAAATTAATCTATTAGTTTGATTTTAAAATTATGATTTTGTCTCAAGATCACTGCTACAAAAGGTCTTTGGGTCAATTAGTTTTTTTTTTCTTTTCTATTTAGAACTACTTGGGTAGATTTAACATTGTGTTTGTAATTATTTTTTGAAATATTTTTTATTTATAAATATATTAAAATAACAGTTTTTATTTTTAATATCAGCATTTTAAAACCATAAAAAATATAAAACAAATAATTTATAAAAATAATTTGTATTTTGAAAGGACGATGTCACTGCAAACACCGCATTCAACATGCCTTGATTTATTTCCAACAAAAAGCAAGTTGATTGCTTCTGTTTTTTGATATTTCAAGCGGAAATCATCCACAAAATGATCAACCGAAAAACGGTGGGTTTTTGAGGGAGAGAGAAGGTTTATGAGAGCGGGCAAGAGGGGTTGTTGAAAAGAGAGGAGTTATATCTTTAATTAATTTATAAAAATAGATAAAAATGTATTAATTTGAAATAAAAAATAAAGAATATTTAAATTTTTTTAATTACTTTTGGAAAGTAAAATCAATGAAAAAAGAATCACAAAGATGTTTTTTATCATCTAATCAAAGGAGATTAAACTCAAAAAAATATAAAATAAAAGATGATGTTATGGCTTATCTATATGATGTTGTGCTGGCTATTTTTATTTTTTTTTAAATTATTAAATTTTACTTTGTTTTTTTAATGAAGGACAAATCAAAATTTGATAACTAATCTTGGCAACGAATTTGAATTGTATTTGAAAAGGCACTTGAAGCGACTTTATATAGAAAAGATATCCATTCAATGATTTTTCTAAGTGTTTTTGAATGTTTTTAATATGTTGAGTTTAAAATTATAAATAATATTTGAAAAGATATCAAATTTGTTGTTTCTAAAATAAAAAACAATATTTTTTAGGAAATTATGAAAATAATAGAGATAATTTTTTATTTTGAGATTGAATAAAAGTTTATATATATATATATATATATATTTATTTAAAATTAAAAAGAAAATAACTCAATTACTATGTACTTCAACTAAATTAAATATGTTAAAGTTATAGAAAATAACAAATAACTTTCTTTTACATGTTATTTTTGAGGTACAACATAGTTTTTAACATGGTTATAATACTTGTATTAATACAATTCCATGAGTTAATTTAAAATCTTATCAACACAGAATCTAGAAGAATTTATAGTAAAAAAATTAAGTTAATTTAGTTAATCTGATCAAAATTTAATTATCAAAGTATTATTTTTTTAATCAAATAAAATTGTAATATGTTTTTAAAAAATAAACTTTAAAGTCCACTATCCAAATCAGATTTTATATATATTATTTTTTAATATTGAAAATTTGATAAGATGGTTGGGTAGAAGAATGGGTCGACATGTTTGATCTGCCAACACCTAAGACAAGTGGGTCAGCGTCGAACAGGCTTGGGCTGCTAATATATATATATATATATAATGGATGTTATCTTCCGGTACATATACAAACTTTGTATAAAAAATGGGATTTCGGATTTTAATTATAAGATTTAGTCCTTTGAGGGCAATCTGGTTTCAATTTTTCCCTTTACACCACACACACATATATAATTGCCCAATAAATCCTATATCTATTTATACTCAGAAGAAATCATGTATAACATTTTCATCATTTATTTTTATTGGTTATGAAGTTGTACTTATTAGAAACACTATCCCAAAATAAATATTTTTAAAAATAAATTTTAATTATATAAAATAAGACAGACAACATATCACCTGATTTAGCCTAGATATAGTGCCTATGAAATATAGACTAAATGTTTTTAACTTAAAAATTTATTTTTAACTTTTTAACCTAAAACATTTTAGTAACCTTGGTAAATACATTTATGGCATAAAAAAACACAAAATATCATCCTAAATACAAAACAAACCCAAAACTAAAAATCTTTTTGAGCTAAAATATGTTTATAAAAACTTTCAAGGTAAAAAAAAAAACACCCAAGTTGAATTCTTGTCGTCAAATGAAATCATTTGACATAAAGATTGATAATTGTGGTGGTTTGAATCAATATCAAAAATATTTCTTTCTCTTTACTATTGAAATCTAGCGACCTTTCTCTCATCTCTTAAACAAGGGATTCTATATTAACAAAAAAAATATTTTAAACCAAAATTGAATTGAAAAAAAAATTGAGAGAACAAATATGTATAATTTGTAAAGTTTGAGGACTAAATTAAACTTTTTTGTGAACTTTGAAACCATCATCCATTTGTATAGCCTTTCATGCTTTGGTCCCTATCTTTAAATTTTGTTCTTAGTTAATAAATTTGATTCAAATTTCCTTGAATTTAACCTAAAAAAATGCAATCGCGTAAAAAACATTTGAGGGCCTAATTAAAAAAAATTTGAACAATGGATCTGTATTAAAATATGTAAGGGTGAGTTGTGCACATATATATAATGTTTTGACCACACCTTTTATTTTTTATTTTTTTTAATTTAGATATGCTTAAATGCTTTTGTTATATAGTAACCTATAAAATAACATTTATATTAATATTTACTAGAAACAAAGTTAATGAACCAGGATTTTATCAATGTATTTTTACCAAAAAATATCAAATCAAGAAAAAAAATATGAATATAATTTTTCTAAATTCTTGAATGCATTATGCTGGCATGCACTGATACAAACAATCCCTTATAGAGGTACACGCTGACTTTAGCCAAAGCTAGATCTAAAAGCTTATTAGGTCTTGCCAGTACCCGACCCATCCATAATTAGGCTTGACAATATGTCAAGCCCAAGCATGTTAGGTCTTGCTCTAGCCAAACACAACCATAAATAGGCTTAATAGTGTGTCAAGCTCCATGTGTGTTGTGTTGACGCTAACTAGACCCAACCCTGATTTAGCTTTATAATGTGCTGAGCCTCGAACATATTGGGTTTACCTGTAATGTTTTGAATAAATAAGTAG